CCTCCGGAAGGTGGAGACCGAGATGCAGACGCGGGCAGACGAGTTCGCGCGGGGGCTGGTCGCGGACGACGAGGGCGGAGGAGACGGAGAGACCAACGTCTCCGCTGTTTCCGAGACCCGGGGGCTGATCGAGAAGGAGGAGGGCGGAGGAGAGGCAGCGTCGGCCAACGAGGTATGCGTAGAGCGCGCGCGCCACACGCACTCCACGCACACGCACGTGCACGCGGGCACTACCGCACGCGCGCGCAAGAAGCACAGCACTCTAGCGGGGGAGGCAGGGGGCGAGGGCGGCGGCGGGGAGGGGGCGGTGAGCTAGGAGGGCCTAGAAGAACCAAGGGGGGCCGCGCCACACCTCACGGCACGAGACCTCGCCTCCCGTTCCCGCCCGGAGGCGGTCTTTCTCGAGATCACGGAGATGTTGGTGCCCCTCGAGGGCGGGGCCGACGAGGTGCGCAAGGCGGAGGAGGAGCGGGGTGAAGCGGCGGTACTTGGCGTCGACGAGGCGGCGCAGAGATGAGGAGAAGAGAAGAGAAGAAGAGGAGAGAGGAGAAGAGAAGAGAAGAGAAGAGAAGAGAAGAGAAGAGAACCCTGAGGTGCAACTCGCTTGTGCGCGCAAGGCGGAGGAGGAGCCTGGCGTCGGTCACGGCGTTGCTTCGTTCCGAAGAGTCGCTCACCACACTATCTTACACTAGGCGGAAGAGGAGGACGAGGCGCGGTCGCGCACGGAGGACGCCGGCGGGGAGGGGGGCGGAGCCGCAGCGGCAAACGAGGCGCGCCTCCCCCCCGTGCCATGCACGCAGTCCTGCACACCACACCTCACCCCCCGCCCCCGTCCTTCCCCGCCCCCGAAGGCGGCGGCAGCCCCGGACCTCGTCGCGATCGAGGATGCGCCGGCGGCGGTGCCCACCGCGGACGACGCGATCGCGGACGCTGGCCCCATCGAGGCCCACGAGAAGGACTCCAGGCAAACGGAAGAAGAGGAGGCGGCGGCAGCCAGCGCGGCGTCCTCTTCAGGCTCCTCCTCCTCCTCCTACGTCATGCCCACCGCGGAGGATCCGGCGGCAACATCGACGATGGCGGGAGGTTTCTCCGACGAGGTTGGCGCCCCCGCCGCCGTGGGCGAGAGCGGGCGCACATCGGAGCCGATCACCGTCGAGTACGCCGAGGGCCTCCCCTCCCCCCCCTCCGCTGTCCTGGCGGAGGTGGCAATCAGCGCCGCCTCCTCCGCCTCCTCCTCCTACGCCATGCCTTCGGCAGAGGACTACGCGACGGCGGAGGAGGCCGAGGGGGAGGGGGCGTCGGCGTCCACTATTCCCTCCGTTGACAGCGTGCCAGCCCCTCCGCCAGCCCCTCCGCCGCCCCCTCCGCCGCCCCCTCCGTTGCTGCCGCCCCCGCCGCAGCCTGGCTCTGCCACCCCCCCCGGGGAAGAAGAAGAAGGCCTTCAAAAAGAAGAAGGGCCAGAAGTAGTTGCCGTGTGAAGCGCGACGGTCGGTACCGCGGGCGCTCGCGGACGAGGCACGCAAGCGCACGCTTTGCGCAACGACGCGCGGCTACGAGACGGCTCGGTTTGGGGCGATGCAGGAGCGCGAGAGCCTGTCGGCCGCTGGCCGCTGCGGACAGATAGGGCAGGGGACTGGGGGGAGGGGAAGGCATGGCTCGGGCTGCGCGGACAGCGACAGCGGACACCCCCAGGCGCCCAGCGCAGGCGGCCGGGCAGGCAGAGATAGGGTGAGGACGAGAGCCAAGGGGGGGCGCAGCAGGGGAGGGGGGCGGGAGGGGGGCAGCTCGAGCGGCAATTTCCTTCACATGCTACACATGTGTTGCACGCATGTCAATAATAAATCGCGCACGCTCCACACTCGGGCCTCGCCCGCGCTCAGGCGTCACAGGGGTCAGGCGCCACACAAAAACATGACAAAATACGAACTTCGCACCGCGCTCACAGCGTATTCCCAGTGCTGAGATGGGCGGCGAGGCCCTTCCCAAAGGTGCCAGCCTTGGCCCTTGCCTCGAGCTCCTCCCGGTCGGGCGGCGTCATGAACGCCATCATCGAGCGCAGCCCCACGCGCGCGTGCTTGAGGGGCGCGAGGACACGGCCCTGCCCCTGCGCGGCGGGTCGCGGGTAGCCGAGTGCGTCCTCGCCGAGCAGCTCGCCCACGGGCTCGAGGGACGGCACGGTCACCACCAGGCCCGCGAGCCGCGCCGGCGCATCCGGGTCCCCCCCGATGGGCGGGAAACCGGGGAGCGTGGCGACTTGGCCCGGTGTGCGAGGGGCGAGCACCTCCACGACGACGGTGCCGCCCGGCGAGCCAGCCTGCGTGGAAGGGAGGGATTGGCTGTGTGTGTGTGTGTGTGTGTGTGTGTGTGTGTGTGTGTGTGTGTGTGTGTGTGTGTGTGTGTGTGTGTGTGTGCGTGTGTGTGTGTGTGTGTGTGCGTGTGTGTGTGTGTGGGCGTGAGCCTCAAAGAAGGCCATCGACAGCTTCGGCGAGAAGGGCGACTTTTCGAGCAGCCGCGCGGGCGGGCCGAAGATGCTCTCGCTCATCGCTTGCACCGTCCGCTGCAGGTCGCCCGCCGTCACCAGCACCGAGTAGAGGCCGACTGCCGCGTTGGAGTGCTCCGCCTCCCCCGCCTCCCACGTCCACGTCTGGCTCATTGCGTCGAAGCGCGACATGCGCGTGGAGATGCCGTCCACTTTTAGCCGCGACCCGCTGCCCTCGCGACTGCGGAACTCCCAGCCAGCTGGGTCACGGCAGTCCGCGCCAGCCAACTCGATGTCGACGCCTCCGACATGCGCGACGCCGGCCTCAGATACGTTGAAGCCGATTCTCCGCCACGCCTCAGCGTCCTCGAAAAGGCGCAGCCGCGAGAGGAGTGGCATGCGGCGAGCCATTCTCTCTGCTGAAGGGCGCGCAGTGCCGACTGAAAGGATGACATCCGCGCCGATAACGGGGGGGGAAGGTGAGGGGGGCCCCAGGGCGGCAGGGGGGGCTTGGGGTCAGCTGTCGGAGGAGGCGAGGGATGAGCTGACGCGGCCTCTGCGAGTGGAGTCGGGACGTACGAGCTCACAGGAAGGCCCGTCGCAGTGGCAGCCGGATCACCGCGACCTTCGACAACGAGGGCCACGCCTCCCCGAGCAGCCTGAAGAGGAGCCGGCGGTACCAGCCGATAGAGCCAAGGACGATAGAGAGGCCGCGGGTGCGGGCACGACTCGTCGACCAGGGAGAGCGGGCCCGACCTCCCGGGGATGGAAGTGGGTGGGACCCAATGCCACCGTCCTCGCCCGGGGCGACCCCGGCCGGTCCAAGAGAGAGGCACCGGCGCTGTCCTGAGAAGGTGCATGGTCCCTCTTGACTGCCCATGCGCGCGAGGCTGTGTAGGCATAGCCTCGAGAGTGCCAGCAGCCAATCCGAGGCAGTTTGTGACGCGCATTGCGTCAGAAGCGTGCACGCGCTGGAAGGACACCTTCCTACTGGCCGTACGATCAGGTCGTCACTGAATGCCGAAGACTAAGGCCGCGAGCTATGCAGGCGGTCAGTTGAGCAGCATGGCACGGTCAGCAGCGCCGAAAGGATGTCGCAAGGCGTGATAGCATGGCCGCAAGTACGCCGAATTCCCATGAAAACAAGTAAAAAATCGCTCGAAAAAAGAAAACATGGCAAAAAAATCGGCGCCTGCGGCGGGCTGGGGGACCCCATCTCCCCCCGCATGGGTACCCCCTAGGGCCCTCGCCTCCCCCCAGAGGTCTACCGGTAGACCGTAATGAACCTACGACACCAGTCTACCGGTAGACTGCGGTAGACTCGTCTACCAAACGGTCTACCGTGAACTGTGCGGTTTCTTTTAGGGGCGCGGTTGGGCTGCGGCGGAGGAACGACCCAAGTGCTGGGAGCCAGCGTGGCCATGGAAGGGCTTGCGCTCCACCTCGAGTGCCCCCTATGCCTCCGGAGCGGTGCGGGCGAGCACGGCGAGGTGCCCCTGAATTTCCACCAGTGCCGCAATGGGCACGCATTCTGCATTGAGTGCGAGGCTACACACTGCCAGGACCGCCTGTGCCGCTACTGCGAGGTGTCTCTCGGATCACCCGACGACGCCATTCGGGCACGCGACCGGGAGAACCTCATCGCCATCCTGCCGGTGGCCTGCCCGCACGGCGGCTGCGGCGCCCAGCATCTTACCAGGGGGAGCCTTGCCCAGCACCTCGCCGTCTGCCCCAAGACGCCGGGCTGCGCGTGTGTCGCAGCGTGCGGCTGGACTGGGCTTAGGGAGGATAAGGAGCAGCACGAGGAGACGTGTGCCCCTGCAGAAGTCCAAAGGCTGCGTGCCGCCCTGGCGGCGGCGGCCGCTGAGCGCGATGCGGCAGTGCAGGCGGCGGTGCAGACGGAGAGGGCGGAGGCGGCGGCGGCGCGTGAGGCCGCGGTGGAGGCGGCCAGGGCAGAGTGGGAGGCGCAGACGCGCGCCTCCATGCCGCAGGATGCTGAGATGGGGGGTTTGGAGGATTGGGATGAGGCGGCTGCTCAGGCGGAGATGGTCGCCGCTTGCCAGGCACGAGCCGTGCTTTCCGCAGTCCCGCAAGTGGGAGATGGCGGGGAGGCAGTGGAGGCAGAGTCGGACGCAGCAACGGTGGACAGGACGGAAGATTCGGGCTACGAGGGAAGCACGGTGGAGGAGTCGGGGGGGGATTTGGGGGAGGAGGAATTGGAGGAGGCGGAGGCGGAGGCGGGGGAGGAGGCGGAGGCGGAGGCGGAGGCGGAGGCGGAGGCGGAGGAGGCACAGGAGGCGGGGGACGCGGCAGCGGCGGAGGAGACGGAGGAGGAGGCGGCGGCCGTGGAGGCGACCGTGCAGGCGGAGGAGGAGGCAGGGGTGGAGCCCGTGCCGACTGCCGGCGTGGCGCGGTCCTCCCCCAGGCTCCTCCTGCTCAAGAAGCGCGAGCGCTCTGAGCAGCTTGCCGCTGCAGCCGACGCGGAAGCAACGCCGCCCGCGGCGCAGAAGCGGCGGCGCCAGTCTGTCGCCGGCCGGGCTGCCGCTCGGCGAATCGACTTTCGGCCTGGCGCAGAGGCCGCGCCTGTGGCGCGGGCTCCCTCGCAGACGTCCCTGTCAACGACGCCGGCGCGGCGACAGTCGCGCGGCGGCGACGGGGCTGGGAGCGGGGCTGGGGCAGCGCCCACGCCGCGGCTGCTTGCGTCCTCCGCCGCTGAGGCTCAGATGATCCGCGCGCGCTTGAGCTCTTACGAGCAGCTGCATGCGCAGAAAGTGGCCGCCAGGCCGACCAAGGAGGAGTTGGCGGCGCTTGGCAAGCAGGTCTATCGCCCGGACCACGCGGCGCGCCATGCCATGCGGGACGCTGACTTGCTCGTCAATCAGACGGTTTGCTGGGGTCACGTGCCCGGCGTCGAGGTGGGCACCACCTTTCCCGACCGCACGTCGCTGATGGTCGTTGGCATGCACCGTCTGGGCGTGAGTGGCATCTCGTTTGCAAGGCACGGGGGCGCAAAGGGCGACACCTTTACCGAATCCATCGTCGACAGCGGCTTCTACGAGTCGAACGCCGGCGGGGGCGACACCTTCACCTACTCGGGCGAGGGAGGCAACGACTTTCTCGGCAGCCGGTGCCAGGTCGGCGCGCAGGCCATGGAGCGAGGCAACCTCGGGCTTGCGAACTGTAAGGCGCACGGCGTGCCCGTGCGCGTGATCCGCAAGGTTCGCACCGGCCCTTCCCCTCCACCGCCGCCCCATCCCCTCTGCTCGTCCTATCTCATCCTCTCCCCCCGCCCCCGCCCCCGCCCGCTGCCCAGGCCGGCTCCCGGTTCCGCTACGACGGCCTCTTTGACGTGGAGCGGTGGTACGAGGCGCCCGTCAACGAGGCGAGGCCTGCGAGCGATGCCAACCCGGTGGTCTACCGCTTCGTGCTGCGCCGCCGCGCGGGGCAGCCGCCCCTCCCCTCCCACCCCTCCTCCGCGGACCCGGGGCTTGGCGCAGCGGGGGGACGCGGCCGGCGCTCGGCCGCCGGGCCGCCGTCGGACGAGGAGCGCGCCTACTCGCAGTTCAAGGCGGCGGAGCAGAAGCGGGCTCTGAAGGAGGCCAAAAAGCGCCACGAGGGCCACGCGAGGATTCCGGAGGCGGAGTACCGCCGCCGCTTCGAGGCCCACAAGGCGCGGGCTTTGCTGTGAGCGGGCAAAGTAGGCACATGGGACCAGGGTCATCGTCAAGGCACATGGGGCGCGCACTCTAGTTGGCGCACTCTCACTTCACACTTGTCCGACTACGTTACGAAGCCGCGTCCGCAGACTCTACGTTACGAAGCCGCGTCCGCAGACTCCTGTGCTCAGCCAGTCACATGGAAATCTTTAGTCTTTCCGTTCACTCTTGTAGCATGCAGCACACAGACTGCATGGGTTTGCCTCTGCATAGACGGGCTGATTCTACATTCCGTATTTCTCTGAAAATGCAGAATGCAGTTGCAGAATGCAGAATGCAGAACCCAGCCCAAAATGTTTACTCTGTATGTGCAGCATGCAGAATGCAGGATGCAGGAAGCAGAATCGTCCCCAAAATGGATTCTTCTGCATGGTGCAGGATGCAGGATGCAGAATGCAGGATGCAAAATCAGACCCAAAGAGTTTGTCCGTCGGGTGCAGCTCACAGCTTTGAGCCCGATTCCGCATCCTGCATCCGCATCCTGCATTCTGCATCGGGTGCTAAGGCATCCGGCTTTGGGCCCGATTCTGCATTCTGCATTCTGCATCTGCATCCTGCATCGGGTGCAGTTCACAGCTTTGGAGCTGATTCTGCATTCTGCATTCTGACTCTGCATCCTGCATGATGTCATGTTGGTGCCCGGGCACAAAAGGCAGAGATATGGCACGATAGTTACTCTCGAGCGCAGATTACGCATGATCAACTCCTGAGGAGCGCCAACGGCGCGACGCGGCCCGGGTTTCGCACACAGCAGCCCCCGGCACGCCCACGCCGTTACTTCCTTGCCGTGGGTGCTGTGGTACGTGGACGATGACGCAATTTACGAGTACGATGTCGGGTCGGTCAATGCTTCGCATGCGCCGACGTTACGGAGGAGACGATGCTCTCCGCGTCCGAGTCCTTGGTGGTTGCTCCGTTGACGCGGATCGTTAAGGTTCGCTCCCCGCACACCGGCCGGGAGCCTGGGTACCCTAGAAGAGGGTCCCCAGCACTTTGCGTTTCCGGAAATTTCCAGGGAAACTAGAGGGTGTTTGGTGCTCCATTCTGGCAACTCTGGAGTTTCCCTGAGTCTGAGAGCTGGTCTGGGGCAAAATCTGAGGCGAAACCGAGGAACTCGGCAAAATACCCAGCCGCTCGCAGGGTAATTTCCAGGTAGACTCATTTTGCCGCCTGGGCTGATTTTGGATTTCCACGGAGTTTCCTCGGGAAACCAGAGAGGAAACGAGAGGGTGCTGTGGTGGAGAAACACGGAAAGGAAACGAGACGGGGTGCGCGAGGAAACATGGATACATTGATTGGCGTCGGGTTACGGGCTAGAGAGCCATAGCCCCGGGGGTGCGCGTTCGCAGGGAAAGGGCCTTAAAGTAAACACGGGTCTCCGAGGGTTAGCTCCGCGCTCCGGGTTTCCCCTAGCAGCAGACCGCCCCCTCTACTCGGAGCTATAATGAACACCAGACATGAACACGACACGCACTCTCACACTTCGTCAACGCGCAGGGCACCTTCGCGCGGGGTCTTCATCCTCACTCCGGAGGAGGCCCCCCCCTCCTCTGAGTTCTTCCTCTTCTTCGCCTTCCGTGAGCCCGATATTTTTTCTCTCTCTCTCCAAATTTGCGCTGGAGGTGCGGCCACCCTGAGGAGGAGAGCGATGGACCCGGACTGGACACCGCCTCGCGGGGGCCAGCGATACGGCGAGGAGAGAGGCGGCAGCGGCGCTCCGTGCGTGACGACGAGGCGTTCGGCCGCAGCAGGCTCGTCCTCACAGGCGGCGTGGCAGCCGAGCCCCGGGGCCGACCTGTCGAGCCACCACGACGATGACCTCTTCAGCGACACGGACGGCTCGGACGAAAACACGGACGAGGAGGAGGAGGAGACGCCGCCCGCCGCCCGCCGCACGCCGCACGCCGCGGCCGTCCGCCGCCGCCCGCAGGCCGCTGGCAAGCGCAAGGCGAAGGCCGCGCCGGCGTGCGAACAGGAGGATCACAGGGCGCGGGCGAGGGAGCTCGCCGAGCGGCGGCGCAAACGGCACGAGGCGCTGCTGCCGCCGCAAAAGGAGCTGCGCACAGCGGAGGCGCGCCGCTTGCGAGCGGAGAGCGAAAGGCTGCCGCAGCCAGCGCCGGACGACGCCGAGGCGTGCGGCACCTTCATGGACTCGGTGCTGGGCAACTATGTCTGCAGCCTGCGCGTAGAGGGCGAGGCGCGGGGCGCGACGGCGAGGGCGGGCTTCACGTCCACGCAGACCCTCGTCGCCGGCATGCCGGTCCCGCCGCGGTGCCGGTTTGTGGCCGGCTGGGACGCAATCAACGCCGCGGCGCAGGCGGCGGCGGCGCGCCGAAAGGAGGCCGCGGCGGCGGAGCTGGCGCGGCCGCCGGTGGCGGAGGCGGAGGGGCTGCGGCTGCACCTCTCGAGCAGCAGTAGCACCCGGTACAGGGGCGTGAAGGGGCTTCAGTCTGGCCGCTTCCAGGCGGAGTACAGGGTGGGCGGGAGGAAGGTCTGCCTCGGCACCTTCGACACGGCGGTGGAGGCGGCGGTGGCGTACGCGCGGGCGGTCGGCGAGGAGGGGGCGCCCGCGGAGGAGGCGGAGGGGCTGCGGCTGCACCTCTCCAGCAGCAACGTCACCGGCTACAGAGGCGTGCACGAGCACGAAGGCCGCTTCCAGGCACAGCGCGTGGCGGACGGAAGGCAGGTACATCTCGGCACCTTCGACACGGCGGTGGAGGCGGCGGTGGCGTACGCGCGGGCGGGCGGCGAGGCCCCAGCGGCGACGTGATGGCGGCGCGCACAACGCCGCGGTGGCGTACGCGGCGCTCGCCGAGGAGGTGAAGGACCTCAAGGACAACGAGGACAACGAGGTCGCCGCCAAGGAGCGCATCCTCGCGCGGGCGTCGGTCAGCTCCTCGTGACTCCGGCTAGGGCCGTCAGATCGCTGATGCACGCCCCCTCTCGCCCCGCGACTCGCCGTCCCTCTCGCTCGGGGGGGCCAACACGACACTAGTCTAAGTCGTCGAGTATCTTTTACGTTTGTCTGTGTTGTCGCCATTTGTTTCTGTCCGGGGTACACATACAGTACAATACTCAATACGATGTATTATAGGCAGTCCGTAATAACAGTGCAAGGAGTGGTGTGGCGGTGCGCCTTCCCCCTCCCGCGCCAAAATATGCGACACAATGAACGGGGTCCACGCACCACGGGTGGGGCCTGAGCGCTGAGGAAGACGTTGGAGCGTGCATAGATTAGAGCATATGTGTGATCTGTGATCTGCAAGGGGCTGCCCGCAGGCGCATTTTGTATACCGAGGCGGTGCCCGGTGCCGAGCGCAGGCAGGGCCCACAGGTCGGACCTTAAGACAGAGTTGTAGATCCCTGGGCGAGGGTGATGCTGATGGCGTCCCCGTCGGGTCAGGGCTGTCGGCTGAAGGCCGCGGGGGAGACCAACCCGATCTCTCCGGCGCCCCGGGAGCGTGATTGACACCTCCCCCCGTGCCAACAGTCCCATGGAGGTAGGCCGCTCGTCTAGCCAATCAGCCTTAAGCGAGCGGCCTGGCCGTTGGAATGGCCGGGTGGAGAGAGGGGCGGAGTCGGCTCGGAAGCGCGATCCTGCAGCCACGGGGGCTGCCCGCCCACTCTCGTCGGGTTGAGGGGAGGACGACTAGGGCAAGGCCACCGGCAACGACCCCAAGCAGAACCCGCTCGACGACTGCTGCTTTCGCGACTTCAAGCTCGACTGCAAGCGCATCGTGGGCGTGACCTCCATCCTGCCGGACGTGGAGGTGGACGGCGTGCTGAGGTCCCACCCGGAGCGGTACCTTCTGCGCAATGCGACCGAGGTGCGCAAGACGGCGCACCGTGTGTGGCAGTGGTCGCCCCGCCCGGAGCGGATAGTAGCTGACATCCTTCGGCTCCCCAAACACATCCAACGGGTCTACGATGCGGACGGGAAGTCGGTGCCGAAGCAGCCGCGGCCTCCGCGAAAGAAGACGCTCGAGATGATCCTCCCGCACGACGTGCCGGCGACCAAGCAGGCGCTACGCGAGCGCGCCGACCGCTTGTGGCCCTGGGACTGGGGCGGCGGCGGCGAGCCCGACGAGGAGGAGGCGCCCGGCGGCGACGTCAGCGGCGACGGCGCGGAGGCTGCCGCCGGCGGCGCGCGCTACCACTGGCCTGCGGACGGGGCGGCGGCGGCGGCGATCCGGCGGTCCTTCGAGGCGCGTGGCGGCGCGCTGGGCCGCGTGCGGCTGCCGCTGGGCGAGAGCGGGCGGCGCGGCCTCGACCTGCCGCTCGCCAATCGGGTGGGGTGCGTGGTGAGTTTCGCGACGCTCTGCGGGAGCGCGCTCGGCGCCGCGGACTACCTCGAGCTGGCGAGGCGGTGCGGGCTTGCTCGCGGTCCGAGGGGGTGAGGAGACGCTGTTCACAGGCGGAGGGGCCGCGTGCTGTGAGCAGGTACGAGCTGCTCGCGGTGGAGGGGGTGCCTGAGCTCACGCCCGAGGACCACAACGCGGCGAGGCGCTTCATCACGCTGATCGACGTATGGAAGGAGCTCCCTCCTCTCGCCGCCAGCCCGTGGACGGGGACGGCGTCTCTTCACGCCTCCACCTGTGAGCAGGAGCTGCACCTCTCGTCGGCGGTGCCGCTGCCGCAGCTCTTCTCCGGCATGCACGAGGCAGCACCTCCCTCGGCAGCCTGTCCACGGACGCTCAGGCCGACCCGGTGCCCGCCGCGACGTCTGTGCGCGGCTTCGGCGGAGCGTCTGCGGGGCTCACCTCGACGTGCCTGGGGGGGGGCGCGAGCAGAGGGGCTGAGGACGGCGCCTCCTCACGCCTGCCCGCGTGTGGACAGGTGGATGGGGGACGGGACCGAGTGGTCCGCCACCGGGCTCATGGGCGTCTCGATGGCGGCGCTCAACGGGCTGCAGGACGCCGCCTTTGCAGCGGCGAGCGGCGTCGCGGCTGCTCGAGATGTCGGCCGCCGACTCGTGGCCGCCGCCCGCGCGGAGTGCGGCCGCGGGCGGGCAGGACCGGTGAGAGACGGGTGAGGAGCGGGTGGGCGTGGAGCTGGGCTGGTGTGCGGAATAACCGGAAGGGGCGGCGGTCTAACACAGGTACGCAAAACCGGCGAAAGACAAATTCCTGCTTTTCTTCGCAAAGTTCATTCTTGCCGTCGACCGTCGTCCCCTCAGCCTCACCCCTGGGCGGCTGGGCACGAGCTGCGTGTGCATAGCAGGTGGCCCCATCAGGGGCCCCAAGCGAAGGGTGAATTAATTTGCAAAGCGGCGTGTGCCGCCCTCCCATCCCTCCATTGGGATGTCCGTTTTCTTTCTTTCTTTTTTCCCTAAACAGCAAGAGAACGTCCGAGGAGCGCCGCCCGCGCGCAGGCCGCCGCGGGGAAGAGCGAATGGCTTGCCGGCGATCACGGCGCCGCCGTCCGCCGGATCAGCGCCGCCGCCTCGCCCTCGTCGCCCGCAGCGCGCTGCAGCGCCGCCGGCTCGCCATCGTGCAGGCTTGTGTCGCTGCGCAGCAGGCAGGTGGGGCGAGAGACAGCAGAGAGACAGCCGAGAGACAGCCGAGAGACAGCCGAGAGACAGCCGAGAGACAAAGGGGACCGTCGCCTACACAGCGAGAGACGAGTCGCTCTCGGCCGGCTCGAGCGGCGGCGGTGGGGGTGGAGGCGGTGAGGGCGGCGGCCTGGACGACAGCGAGGGCGGTGAGGGGGGAGGGTGGGAGGGTGGGGGGGGCTCCTGCCGCTCGTCCACGAGGCCGATGCGCCAGTTGTGGACGAGGCCCGCGATGAGCGCCCGCACCTAGCGTGCGGGGGCAAGCAGTGACGGCCTCGGGACAAGGCGCGGGGCAAGGGGTCGGGCAAGCCCTCGGAGCGGTGGCGGGGCGGGCACCTCGAGCGTCGCGACGCGCGAGCCGGGACACTTCCGCGCGCCGGCCGAGAAGGGGGCGGAGAGCAGCGGGTGGTCGATCAGCTCCGCCGGCGTGCCTGCGCGCACCGCCGCGACGCGTGTGGAGAGGCGCCGCCCGCCCGCCTCCCGGGAGGCGGGACGTCACTGCACGGCACCACTGTCGAGCGCCGCTGTGTGTGTGTTTGGGGGGGCGCGGCGGAGCTCTCTCGCGGCTGCGCCTTCCGCAGTGATCTCGGGCGATCTCGGGTGATGATCTCGGGTGATCTCGGGCGGCGGCGCGCCCTTCCGCTCTGCCACCGCGCCTGCGAGCCAGCGCTCGGGCCGAAAGGCGCGCGGCTGCTCCACGAGCGCCTCGCTCATCTGAAGGAGAGAGGTCTGGAGGTGACGCCGACTTCCGCCCTAGCTGCCGCCCACAAGAGGCGGATGCGTGCGGCACACTGCGCTATGCGGCAGCTACTACTAACAGAGTGTCGACTGCTCTCGGGTGATCTCGTGCGAGCTCGGGCGAGCTCGGGCAGCCTCTCCGGCGGGGCCTAGGGTGGTCTGAAGCGGCCTCGGCCTGCAGGGAGTGGTTCTCCAGCGCGACCAGCGAGCCGGCGGGGATGCGGTGGCCGGCGAGGTCGATGTCCGCGTCCACCTATGGCGGCGTCGAGGAGGGATGCCGCGCCCTCGGACTGGTCCAGGCAAGGGCGGGCGCGGCAAGCTCCGGCGCCTCCTTGACCGAGGAGATGACGAGTGCGGGCGTGAGCCGATGAGTCTCGCGGACCACCGCCTATGCCGGCAGTGCACGCCTCACGCGCACCTCGCTACGCCCCGCGGGCAGGGGGGCAGGGGAGGGAGGAGAGGAGGTCG